TCGTTGAAGTCTTGCCAAGTTCCGCCTGGCAGCCAACGGCGGAACTTGGCAAGACTTCAACGATGACGCCAGCTCGAGTGAGACAAGACCTGCGACCAAATTATGCCTGCACGGCTTTAGCCTTGCGAGCAAGCACTTTGCGGTTGCAATCGATCGCGACCTGAAGAGCGCTCTCATTTTGGGCAGGCGGCCTTCGCTGCACAATGCAGCCACTTCTTCAAGGGTGGTCTGGAAGGCAGCATGTCGCGGCATGATTCTGCTCCGCAGAGGGGAACTGTGGAGTGAGACGAATGCCTTGTCGCGACTTTCCGTTGCAGCTGAGTGTTTCTTTTGAGGATGGGGATGGTGGGAGAACTGAAGCTGCTGTTTGTGCTTGAAAGTTGTCTGCAGCTGGGATGATTTCGTGCCAATGCAAGGCCACGATGACTACCGCACTGTGAAACAGGCCGCGCAGCTCAAGACAATTTATCCTGCTTGAGTCGGGTGGTCTCAAGACCGGAGCACCCGCACGATGCCTAGGTTTACGACAGCTTTGGGAGCATCTGCGGGCCAAGGCCACTTGCCGAACTTGGGGGTTGGCCGTCGGGGTAGATCTCTGTCAATTTCCAGGGTGGGCAATGCAGAAATGCCGTTATGCCGCGCATACGGCGACGTTTTTGCAGCCGCCCTGGCACCACAACTCGATGCCGTCACAGCCTTGTTCTCAGAGTTTTTGATGGCATGCAGGCCGCTGTAACTCATAGTACAGTAGTCAACCTATAGCCAAACACGCTTGTGAACACTACGATCATACTTGGGGTGAGGGCGCTGTTTCCAAGCTGGAACATTCATGAACGAGGTGGGCAGCGCAGAGGCGATTTGCAACAGCATGTTCGACTTCCTCCAGGAGATGAAGCAGGCACGCTACCATGCTTGCGAAACGCACCACGTCCCAAAGAAAATTGCCTCGGAGTATCCTCCGACCCTGTGTTTCCATGTGCAGGCACAAGTTGATTTGCAGCTCTTCGAGGCGGCTTTCACAATAGTTCTCCTTTATTGAAATTCGAGCGGCCAAAACCTGACTCTGGGAAGCCTCTGTGTTTTCCACCTCATGTCAGTCGAAAAATCTTTGTAATGCCCGGCGTTGCAGGGCTCCTTGGGTCATCTGGATGTTGCCGGCCCCGCTTCCGCGCGCGGAAAGAGGTGGCGTGGCCAATTTAAGTGTTCGACAACGCTTGCAAAGTTGCATAGGTGGGCGAAGTTTGTTGAGATGAGCACGCCAAAGCCACTCAACGAGACGCACGGCAACCTGCTCGCTGGACTCCAGGCACCCGGAAAGCCGTGGAATCCCACACGGCTTGCGATGTTTAGCGAACGGTGAGGGTTTGGTCTCCTTTGCAGGTCGGGGCCGACGATAAGGACGCAGGGCCGACATGGCTCCGGGGCCGTTCGAGGGCCCCCCACGCTGGACACAACTGCGCTGACTTGCGTGCCCAGAAGCAGGACAAGTACGAAATCACCATGTCATCATGGGATGGGGCTGTGACCTCAGCAGCGGCCGCCATTGCTCCGTGATGAACTCAAGCCTGTCGTGCTTGGTTTCTCAGGCTTTGAAGGCCACGCGAGTGCCCAGTCTCCTTTTCGATCATTGTGAAACAGAGATGAAGGAAATCATGCTTGATGCGCGGGGGCCCCGGATGCTCTCAGCCAGTTCTCAGTGTTAGCCGTTAGCATTTGTCGTGACGGAACGAAGTGGTGACTCTCCGTCCACTGACTGACATACGGTGCGTGAGAGCGGAAGAGCTATAGACAAATGAGTGAATGAATGAATGAATATGTATGTATGTATGTATGTATGTATGTATGCATGCATGCATGCATGCATGCATGCATGTATGTATGTAGGTATGTACACACCTATGTATCTTTGCATTTATGCATTTATGCATGTATGTAGGCATGTATGTATGTATGTATGCATGTATGCATGTATGCATGTATGCATGTATGTATGTAGCATGTATGTATGATGTATATACGATGTATACATTGTATACATGATGTATATGTAGACTTATGCCGAAAAGAACCTGGTGCAGTAGGAGCAAAGGAAATAGACAGAGAGCGAGGAGTGTTCTTCGGGTTGGGTCCACAGACACATTGGGAACAGGCCCAGCTACAACCCCGAAAGGGGCCATTCAGACATACAGTTGCGGACCGGTTGGCCTTCGGGCCGGGGGGTTTCGCCCCCATACACCCAGCAAGCAAGCAAGCAAGTAAGCAAGAGAGAGAGAGAGTGCAAGCCAGCAAGAAAGATGCCAGAAACAACTGAAGCAACTAAAGGCCGCAGACGTCCGGACGCGTTGCGAAGCTGGCAGTAGACTGGTCGACCCGCCCGCTTTGTGCCGCACGACGCCGACAGTTTCTGAGGCCCCATCGAATGACTCTGCCAGGTGCAACTTCCAGCAGCTGCGTGGTGGAGGCATGCGACCTATCTGGTGCAACAGCTCGACAGCTTGACCATGCATCCTGCGGTTGCCGTCGGCTTTGTCCTTCTTTGGGCTGCTTGCAGTGTTTTCGGCTCGATCTTGTTTCGCGAATGATTGACTGAGTGCAGAGGTGCAGTTACTTGAACAGGGTCATTCCTCTGTGCTTAGGGCTTGCGTGTAGTGCAACAGCCAGATCATGGACCTGCCTCGCGAGCGGTCTCACAATTTCAGCGAGGCTTGTGTGTGTCTGTGTGTGTAAGTGATTGTGTGTGTGTGTTTGTGCGTGAGAGCGTGTGTGTGTAATGCGTGTATGTATGTCTGTGTTTTGCAAGGGTGCAGTCTTTTGTAGGCTGTTGACATTGTGAATCAGTGAGCACTCCTTTTCGCCATGCATCTCGTGATCACTGTAGATGCGTGCCACGCAGGCTAATCGGCTAATCCTCCAATCCTTCCGTTTCGGCGTACTTGCGCTGCACATCTTCAGCGGTGTGTGTGTGTGTCTCCTGTTGACATCAACCGCTACCTTTGACATGCTACTGAAATTCAGGATATGGAAGGTGGACTCAGTGTTTGTGTACCTTTGAGTTTCTTCTGCAAGCGGCACTCGCCCATCTGGTTGTCCTCTGCGAGCGTCGAGAGTGGACCCCGCCAGTCCCAGACAGATGCTAAACGGCTGTTACTTGTAGCTGGCAGCATCCGATGTTGCTGTTCGCCTCGTCCATCTTTGCAGTCTTTACTCTTTATCCTTCCGTTGTCTCCTTGAGTCCATCCACTAGGGAGGTGCAGACTGGAGCAGGGCAGGAACCGCGCACAACCGAGCACAGGAGCCTCTGAGTAAAGGAGCCTGCAATGTCGCTGCAGTCATTGGCACGATGAGTTGCTCGATACGAGTGGCGAATTGAATTTCTTTCGCCTGTGCAGTCGGGCTAGACGTGCAAGCTTCTTCCCAAGTCTTTAATGTTCGTGATAGCTCGCTGGCACCGCACTCTGCCAAGCTCGTGGCCGAATGGCATCGCCACTCCAACACCGCTAACTGCCGGTTATATTCAATTCCTCCGAATTACTTGTCGGATGCTTGCTGTGCATGTGTTAGACTGCACTGCCCTGCGAGGATGAAAAGGGTGCGACTCCTGAGGGGCAACTTGCGGACCTTGTGTCAGCTAAAGTGGCATTTCTTCTGGAGCGGAACTTCATGGTCTGGACGCAGCAGACCGAGAAAACAGCGAGGCAATTAGCTAATCAGGAGGACCTGTTGAAGGAGATTCTCTACCATTGTTCAACTGTGGAGCAGGAGCTCGCATCGATGGAGCTATTCGGATCTGAAAGTGAGCAAGCTTTCCCAGCCGAGTTGGCCGAGGTGGATTCAGTTCGGGCGCGGCTGCAGTCCCCGCCGATGCAAGGCACCGCAGATAGCAGCATCTCTCCTTCACCATCGATTTTTAATTCCTACACGCAGCATGATCTTGGCTTGAGACAAGATGCCCAGAAGGTGCACAGTCGAATGTCTGTGTATCCGACGGAACTGACCGTGCCACATACGCCTCTTGCTCAACGGATCGTTGGCCATCCCGCATTCGACATTTTCTTTGGGTTCGTGGTGATGACCAACGCTGTCTTTCTTGGTGTTGATGTGCAACGAAGCATCACGGATCCAAGCCCCCACGTCATCCTCAAGACTATGCAGTACATCTACACACTTCTGTTCATAGCTGAGCTTGCCATGAGAGTGGCCGCTGGTGGCCTACAGTTTTTTATTTCCGAAGATTGGCTCTGGGCTCTGGTCGATGTGGTCATCGTTTCAGGAGCTCTCCTAGATGTCGTGCTGGATATCCTTGAGGCCGTGCAGGCAACAGGCTCAGAAATGCTGAGTGGCATTGACGGAGTCTCCAGCCTGAAGGTGCTCGGGCAGTGCTTGCGAAGTATCTTCCGCTGTCATTTTGAAAGCATGCTCGCTAGCCGCTAGCCGTTGGTGACTGGAAGTCGGCATGCTTCCTGTTTTCTCTTTCGATTTTCTGTCGTACTGATCGAGAACCCGTGCATCTACCGTAGTCGATCGGCAGCTTACACGCGTGCGATATCGAATCAAGACAACTCGATTAGCAGGGAGGGAGCCTGTGCTTTGTGTGCTCGGGGATGCCTTTCCTTGTCTAGCATTTTGCAAGCTTGGATGCCGCTTCAGTGTGGATGCCTTTGGGCACCAAGACGGCTGTACACCCTGACCAGTTGGCCGGGACACATGACCCAACTTAACACTGAGATGCGCTGAGACTTCCTAGGGAAGACAGTGCTGGCACAGCACGACGCTTGCATTTCCTGTTGTGCGGTGGCGCGGCTTCGGTCGACCTTTTGTGGTTTTTGGGTGGTAGGGTACCGAGCGGTGAAACACAAAGTAGCAGTATGGAAGATGTCTCGAGGCGAGTGCGTGCCGGCAACGAGGACAGTCCGAATGTCTAAGGAATTCCCGCCGATAGCAAGGCGCTTGCAAGTCACGATCCTGGTGTAGGTGAGTAGGGAAAGTGTAGCATGCCGTAGCATGGTGCAGTGCTAGCTTCGCTCGCAGCTTTGGCCTTGTTGTAGCTTTGCATGGAAGTTCCCGAACCTTTTGGTCTTTCTCTGGAGGCCTTCCGCATCATCCGCATCACGAGGATATTGAAAACAGTGCAGGTCGTGCGCGTGTTCCGCTTCGTCATGGCATTACGGACCCTGGTCACCTCAATCTTTCACACGCTCAAAGCATTGCTTTGGGCTTTGATTCTGCTGTTTCTCATTGTGTACGTCTTCTCGGTTATATTCACCTCGGCAGTGAACGAAGCCCTGTCTGATCCAAGCCACCTTCTCCCAGCGGAGGCAAACGAACAGGCAAGGCGTTACTTCAGCAGCCTTTATGACACCATGTTGAGTCTGTTGATGAGCATCGCCGGTGGTGTCAGCTGGGAAGAGGTAATTGCCCCCTTGCGACATGTGTCGGAAGTTTGGGGCGTCGCATTTCTTGTGTTCTTCTCGTTCACGTACTTTGCTGTTCTCAATGAGACTTGGCAGTGAAATCATCAAGGCTTTTCTTTGGATGTCGGGCATCAAACCCGTAGCTCCGTAGCGTGCTGGGGAGCGACTTCCCCGCTACGACGCTGCGTAAGACTCTGACCTGAGCCTCAGATATAGTCAACTTTCAGTTTGGAGTGGGTGCCTTGGTCAACCTTTTCTTCTTCTTCTTCAGCCCAGGTCGTGACTGCTGTCTTCTGTACCACGGCCCTGGAGTCTGCGCAGAATGATCATGCAACGGTTGTGCAGTCCCTGCTGGACAACAAGGAGACGCATTTAAGCAAGCTACGCGCGGTGTTCAGCTCTCTGGGGGCGACCGAGACGGGTGCGATCACCTACACTATGTTTGAGGAGAAAATCAACACTCCCGAAATTAAAGGCTACTTGGAGACCCTTGGCTTGGATGTTTGGGATGCATGGAGCTTTTTCAAGTTGCTGGACACCGATGGTGGTGGTGCCATTGATATTGAAGAATTCTTTATGGGATGCTTAAGATTTCGTGGCCAAGCGAGTGCTATGGATGTGGGCAAAATTCTTCAGGACCAGAATTGGTTGATAACTAGTCAGGGCAAATTCCAAGCACATGTCGAAGGAGAGCTGAACACGCTGAAAGAAAGCATGTCTACTCTCTTGGAGCAGATGACGAGTTCAAGGAGCTTTCGTCCTGCATCGAAGAAGCCGACCCTGATGGGTCGTTGGAAGGAGCTTTAAACGGTCAGTCAGTCTCGTTCTGTGCAGTCACATGTTTTATCAAGAGTGATCTGCGCTTGTGGGCCGAGCAGGTTTAGGTTTCAGAAGCTCGCCATTGCATGGTCCAAGAGATCTTGTCCTTTGAGTTCTGATACTAGTGCGCAAAGCTTGTCACAAACTTCTCGTAAACCTGCAACGGGCAGTTTTTCTTCACAAGGCAGAGGTCAGCCCTCGCGTACTATAGGGGCCTATACATCCTGTATGTTTCAACTGGAGGCGTGTGGGCAGCAAAGCTGAACCACATGCCACACACGGCCGGCGAATAGGAAAACTATGCCTTGCTCCATGCATCGAGCTTTTGATCGCAAGTTCACCACGAAAGTGCTTTCGTTTGTTGCTGGCTGTCTCAGCGGATGCACCCTTTGAAGGGTGCAATGTTGCTCAAACGCCCCGATAGTTTACGACGGAGACGTAGGTGAGCCGCCGTCCCATTTTGAAGAGCCTTGCCATGGCTGCGAAGGGAGCCAGCTCGCCAACTGTGTAGGTGGTGGGGAACGGCTGCGCTGCGAAAGCAGTACCCGGCCACTGCTGGTTACCATGAGAAGATGCGAGAAATCATGAAGCTGCGGCCTGCGTGCTGCACGTCGTACTGCGCAGTGAAGCTGTTTTGCTGTGAAGCTTCCCCTTCTATGGCTGGTGGCGGGCAGCTAGGCCACGTCAGTCTGCCTGTCCTCTCCGAATACTACTACTACTACTACTACTACTGCTGCTACTACTACTACTACTACTCCACT